AACGGCAACTGAATATAACCCAAACTAAGTGCAATAGTTATAGAGGGGAAAAAAATCAACAACAATCTAAGTCTTTATTCGTATAACTCCTTAAATACCCACATCAGTAGGTTATAGTACATTCAAGAGGAGAAACAAACTGTTAATATTTCAACATTGATCTAAGAAATTGATTAGCCCAATGAAGTCAGAAATTTAGTAAACTTACAAAGTCAACAAAATTAATGCACTCTGTATAGATACTATCTTTTAGAAAGGAGCATACATACAATTTCAATTTTTTTTTCAAGACAGGATTTCTCTGTGTAACAGCCCAGGCTGTCCTGGAACTCACTATGTAGACCAGGTAGGTCTCAACCTCACAGAGAACCACCTGCCTCCTGAGTGCTGAGATTAAAGGTATACACCACCACACCTGGCTTATAGCATGTGTTTTTAAGCATCCATTTAAAAAGTGATTACAAACTAGAGTTAAATTGTATTTACATTAGTATCATGCAGTTTTTCTCTGTATAAAATGCAACTGAATGAGAACGTATACTAAAATGGTTGGAAATGTAAAAGCTGTACCTCTAAATCACTATTTGTTGAATTTGAAAATCACAAACATTGCAAAAATAAGCAACCGAATTAAATAAAGTAATATATAAATATGTATATATGTATTTATATATATATATATATATGATTTTTATACACAGAATGGAAAATGTATCTCAAATGTCCTCATTAAAAATAGTAAAATTAAAAAGTAAGCATTAATGGTGGTCTGCACCTTTAATCCAGGCACTAGGGGACAGAAGCAAAAGGATCTCTATGAATTTGAGGCCATCCTAGTCTATTTGGAGAATTCCAGTCCATGACTATATAGTGCAACCCTGTCTCAAGCAACAACAGCAAAAAGCATTAAAAACCAAGAAAGAAAAGAAGTGAAATATACAATACCATGGATGTAAAATATTATAGATATAAGACAATAACAATGAGGAGCTTTACCCCATTCCTGTGTGTGAAAATTCAATTATATGAACCCAGCTCTTCCCCATTTAATATCTAAATTCAATATAATTCAAACCCAAAATATGATCGTGGATTTTCATGAAGTATGACTATTTGGTACTAAAATCATACAGAAGATCAAATAGATTAGAATAACTAGATAATTTTGAGAAAGAATATAGTGGAAATGAGAAGAACTACCAAATGGCAACTACTATCAATGGAAGAGAGTAGAGACCATGGAAGCACAACTGTCTATTGATGGGCACTTGATGTATTGCAGAGGCAATGACAGAAATCAAACATAATGAGTGGAATTGCTCTGAAGTTTATCAATGAGGGGAAAGTAAAATTAAATCATATGTTCACCCCACACAAAAAAATTAAAATTAAGGCTTCAAATAAAAAGGTAAAAAATAATTTTTAAAGAGCATGCTATTTACTTTGTATGTGTGTCTTGGGGGGACATGTCACAATAGCACATACCCGGAAGACAGACTGTAGAAGTTATTCCCTCCACTATTTGCATTCCACTGATTGAATTCAGGTCATCAAGTCTGGCTGCAAACTACCTGTTAAGACATCTCTCTGGACCACAGTTTTATACATAATTTTAACTTTTATTGAAAATAGATTTTTATACAATAGATTCTGATCAGAGTTTCTCCTCCTCTAACTCCTGCCAGATCCTCCCCACCCACCCAAACCCTTACCCTTCCTTCCTCCTCTCATTAGAAAACTAACAGGCAAACTAAACCCACACACCCCAGAATAAGGCAAAACAAACAAACAAGCAGGAAAAAAGCCAAAGAGAAAGCCCAAGAAGCATATAAAGACACAAACACACCATCCGCACAAAAATCCCATAAAAACACAGAATTAGACACCATAATATATAAGCAAAACATCTGTGAGGTTAAAACATTATGAGACAAAAACATTCAAAAAATACCATTGAGTTCATTTTGTGTTACCCATCCACTCCTTGGCATTGGTCCTGCCTTTAAATTTGGTTTGTATACCCAGTGAGACTCCATCGGGAAAAACTAATTTTCCCTTTGTGAATTGTTGTCAGTTGGAAATAGCTCCTGCATTAGGTATAGAGGTTTGTGTTCACTTTCCTGCTCAGTGCTAGGACCCCATGTAGGTTAGACTGGTGAAGGTCCTGTGGATGCTGTCATTCTCCAGGAGTTCATATGTGTGTCAGTACTATTGTATCTGGAAGACACTGTTTCCATGGTGTCTTCCATTCCCACTGACTCTTACAGTCTTCCTGTTTCCTCCTCCACAAAGATTCCTGAGCCTTTCGGGGAGGGATTTGATGGAGACCTACCATTTAAGACTAAGTATTCCAAAGTCTGTTACTTGATACACATTGTTCAGTTGTGAGTCTCTGTATTTGTTCCCATGTACTGCAGGAGGCTTCTCTGATGATTGCTGAACAAGACACTGGTCTATTGATATAGCAAAATGTCAATGAGTCATTTTTATTGTTATGCCCATTTGGTCCATATGCTATCTAGTCTTATGTTCCTAGCCACTTGAGCAGTATCAGGCATGGGTTCTATGTTATGGAGCAAACCTTAAATCAAATCAAATAGTGGTTGGTTACTCCTGTGACTTTTGTGCTACTATTCTATCAGTGTATCATGCAGGCAGGTCACCATTGTAGATCAAAGAATTTTTAGTTGGATTGGTGTTTACCTTTCTACTTTGGTAGCATGCAGAGTACCTTTCAGTACCATGAACACTAGCCAGTAGGGGTGAAGGCTCTAGGTAGGCATCAGTTTGATTTCACCATGTTTAATGAATTATATAGGTGTTGTCATCAGCAATAGAGCATACCCCATAAGTTTTAGAATGTAACTGTAAGAAGATTATCTTAAATCAAACATAAAAACAAAAACTATGAAGAAATGTGCTGAAATTTATTTTTATACTATAGAATATTCACAAAATCAGCTGTAGACTAAGATATGGCAAAATTGGCAAGAAAGATGGCTCAGCAGTTAAGAGAATTTTGTTATAGAGGACCCAAGCTTAGCTACTACCACCAATCATCCAAGGGATCCAATACCCTGCAGGCACCAGGCCTATCATTGCAGGATCTAATATACCTATACATGTTAACTTACAAAGAATAGACATCTATACTATATCAAGAATTTTAATATGGAAAAACAATACACCTAGAAGTCAGATCCTGCCTATAAAGCCGCAAGAACTGCCCATGTTGACCTAATACCTACAGCCAGGCGTTATCCCTCCTAAAGGTTTTACAACCTTCCCAAACAGCACCAACAGATGGGTACCAAGTGTTCAAAAACATGCATATGGGAGACATTTCACATTTAAACTTTAACTGCCAGTTATGACAGAAGTTCAATTCATCAGTGATCAGAAATGCGAAGATTAAAATGTAGCCATCAGATGATCCAAAATGTGAAAGTCTGCTAACACCAAGTTTTTTTTATAAGAATGTGGCAAAAGGAAAGCTTCATTCACTACTGCTGAGAGAATAAATTGATAAAAACCATTTAGGAGAGCACTTCAGCAATATATGAAGATATTATAAGCACCCCCCAGATCCCACGTCAAGATATATTTTACTTTTTTATTTGTATTAGAAACAGGATTGTTATACATGACAATCCCAGTTCCCTTCTCCCTCCCGTCCTCCCCTACCACTCCCCAACTAAAACCCTACCTATCACATATCCTTTCTGCTTCCCCTGGGTGGTGAGGCCTTCCATAGGGTGTCATCAGAGTCTATCATATCCTTTGAGATAGGGCCTAGGCCCACCCCCATGTGTCTTGACTCAGGGAGTATTCCTCTATGTGGAATGGGCTCCCAAAGTCCACACCTATGCTAGGGATAAGTACTGAACAGGAGGTCCCATAGATTTCTGAGGTTTCCTCACTGAAACCCATGTTCCTGGTGTCTGGATCAGTCCCATGCGTCCAAAGAGACTGCTGTAAGGAAGTTCATTGCATCATGGTTTGTGATATTGAGAAACTGAATACTCGGACATATTCAAGCAGCAAGATAAAACCTTATAGCCATAAAATAACAAATTACAATGTACTGACGTGGATACAGCTGCAACAAATGATGTTGAAGGCAAAAAGCAACTCAACGGTATGTATCATCTTCAGCATAAAGTTCTTAAATGAATGATTTAAGAACATGCAAAGTACTGATGCTAGATTGAATTACATGAAGTGACTACTTTTTTTCTAAGTAAAGAACAGGTAATAATAGTATCTTAGTTTCAGGATAACAATACATGCATGGTATTGATGGATATAGGATTCAGTGTGGCATTATCTCCTTAGCAGTGATGCTAAGTGAGGAGTTGATGAGGTACATTGGGGTAGTTTAAGGTTTGGCTGCTGGATTTTATCGCTTAAAAAATTGGAATGTGCAGGACCCTGAGGTCTGTATCAGCATAACATGCATGATGCATGCATGCAAAAATTTAAAAATCCCCTAAAACCAAAAAGATTTTGCAGAAATTATGGAAGTTGTTAAATTTATTAAAGCAGGGTGATAAATACATGATCTATTGTGTGTGTGTGTGTGTGTGTGTGTGTGTGTGTGTGTGTTTATTTATTTTGTACATTTCTGTTGATACTTTGATTTTTTGAAGAAAATTAAAATCTGAATTGAGGCATAAAATTTTAATCTCACATTATAAGGAAATACTTACAAAATGATTAAATCTTCTGCTGCTTACTTATCTGAACATAGCACCCGTGAGACTATTAGTATGGCATAAAAACTGAAAAACATCTCTCCTCACACACCAGTCGAAAGCTTCCAATTTTATTTTGTTCCTTTAGCATCGGTAAGATCATCATCATATAAACCATTCATTAGTGCCTCCCTTTTGCTTGTTCTTGTTTGGTGGTGGTCAGATTCATCTGTATGCCAGTTATATGAAATCTGGTAATGTTATTCATTTTTCTTCCTTTCCTTTCTTAACCTGTGATCCATATAGGAATCTGCAAGCAGAATATGATCGTCTGAAGCAGCAGCATGAGCATAAAGGCCTGTCCCCACTGCCGTCTCCTCCTGAGATGATGCCCACCTCTCCCCAGAGTCCCAGGGATGCTGAGCTTATTGCTGAGGCCAAGCTACTGCGTCAACACAAAGGACGCCTGGAAGCCAGGATGCAAATCCTGGAGGACCACAACAAGCAGCTTGAGTCTCAGTTACATAGACTGAGGCAGCTCCTGGAGCAAGTAAGGCCCCTAACTTTCCACTATTGGCTAGTTACAAACTTTCACTTTCCTCTTTTAAATAAAACCAAAAGACAGAACTCAGATCCTTGTACTTAAACTTTAAGTACTTTTCAATATTTGCTTCACATCATCTTATCTCCAAACATATTTTCGATTTTGGCTTTGTCTTCTGTTCATTTCTTTTTGTCAATTGGAAATGCATCTTACAGGGAAATGGCAGAAGATTTCCATTCATTCTCTATAAATGAAATTTTGACTGTAAAATGAAGTTTCTTATTTGAAATTACTTACATTTTGTGGTGTAGCTTTGTTTTTTTTCTTCTCCTAATCCTTAGCACAAAATTTAAAGATTTATACCTCCATTGGGAACCTAGAAGGATATATCATTGAAACAGACCCTAGCCAGACATGCCCCAGGTCTTCTGAGCATTTACAATTTTAAAATAATGTTCTTTCTATTGTGTTACTAATGCTTCTCAAGAATACGGATTCTCCATTACCTTTTGGGGTTTATATTGTCCCTGCTTTCACTTGGCCTTCTCAATCTTTTAGCCTCTTAATTTAGCGACTTATATTTATCCTACCATATCTATATTTTCCTTCATTCATATAAGAGAACACATTTCAAATGCAAATACATATCCATGGATCATATCAGCAATAAAATATCCCACATTCCCCAATTTCTAGGCAGTTTCTACATAGCAATGGTAATAGTACCTGAGTTCTCAGTGTCTATAATATTCCTATTTTTGTCTATAGTGTTCTTACAGTTTTATTGAGTTTATTATGAAAAATAATACTTTTTTTCTGTTGCAAACTTTAGCCCCAGGCTGAGGCCAAGGTGAATGGCACCACAGTGTCCTCTCCTTCTACCTCTCTCCAGAGGTCAGATAGTAGTCAGCCTATGTTGCTCCGAGTGGTTGGCAGTCAAACTTCAGAATCTATGGGTAAGTACCAGCTAGTTCCACAATTAGTTACTCTTAGTATCTAAGACGATTAAAAGTTCTGTTACCAGCACAGATCGAGAAGTAATGTTTTTAACACTAATGTCACACCACCTCAGAAGCCAACTTAACCACTTACTCAGGACAAAGGCTTGATGGCCTGTTGAAATTTATGAATGATTCCAGAAGTTGGAGTAGAGACCAAATATATCCTGAAAAGATACTTCTTAAAAGATATATCCTGAAACCTGAATCTGCCCAAAAGAAAATATTTCTAGATGGATACACCAGTTAGTGGGTATTTGTTCAGGCCAAGATATTTGAGTTCTGAGGGTCCTCGTTTGAGAGAAATGGGAGGAGCCATCTATGAAACTGTTCCATATAATCAGAGTTTCTAAGACCTGGGGACTGACTGCAAAGCGTAAGGAAAGAAGTGGAGAGAGATTTGGTTGTCAATATAAAGCGAAGCCTTTTTTCCCCCTCTCCCCATGCTACTGATGGAACAAAGGGTCTTGGGAATATTATGCATGTACTGTGCCACAGAACTACACACCCAACCCCGTTATTGTACTGTTTCTAAAAGATGTATATTGTTGTCTGTGTGCATATCTGTGTCTGTGTATATGTGCATGTTTGTATGGGTGCCTTCAAAGGCCAGAAGAGAGCATTGGCTCCCCTGGAGCTGGATCACAGGTGGTTGTGAGCCACTTGACATGGTCACTGAGAACTGAAATCTGGTCCTCTGCAAGAGCAGCAAGCACAGCCACTGAGCCATCTTTCTAGCCCCTCAGTGGTGTAATGTCTGATGGGTTTTTTTTGTAATGCAGTTGAGAAAATGGCAGACTGCTTGAATTAAAATACATGTTCAGGGATTTGAATGCTGAAGGATACGAGATGAGTAATGTGTAACAAAGGTGTCTAGACACAATGCTTTGGGGGAAGATCTTTCTTTTGTTTTCCTTTATGTTGCTATGATAGAAACCATGAGCAAAAACAACCTAGGGGAGAAAATGGTTTATTTCAGTTTATAGCTTACAGCCTGTCATTAAGGGAGGTCAGGGCAAGAACTCGAACAGGAACTTGGAGCAGACACCACTGAGAAGTGCTGCTTTCTGTTGCACAGACCCATACTTATCTGGCTTTCTTGCAAACCCCAGGACCCTCTCTCTGCCCCCAAACTGGTGCCTCCCACAGTAGACTGGGCCCTCCTACATCAATTAAGAGTAAACATAATCCCCCACATACATCCTTACTGGCTTGTCTGTCTAAGCAGTCCCTCAAGTGATACTCCTCTTTTAGGTGGATACTCCTCTTTTAGCTCTGTCATGTTGACAGTTAAAGCTAAGTAGGACAACCACTATCTGAGTAATTGGGGTGTTAAAGGCCTGAGAAGTAGATAGAGCTTCAAGGAAGCCATGCTTAAAAGGATGAAATCTAAATGAGCCCAGTGGAAATGAAAGTTAATTACAGCTGATTAGATCACAATGAGTGATTGACCATTTTCAGAGAAAGCATTTGCATTTTCACAGAAGGAAGTTGATCAGTGAAAAGGAATGAGAATTAGGGAAAGGAAAGAAACTTTGAGAACATTTTGTATTAGTTACTTTTCCCATTGCTGTGACAAATACCTGACACAAGCAGCTTAAGGGTGAAAGGGTTTATTTTGGCTTAGTTTGAGTCTGTCACAGTGGCTAAGGTGTGACTGCAGAATCTCCACAAAACTGGGCATGTTACATCCACAGTTAGGAAACAGAGAGGAATGAATGCTCTTTTTTTTGTATTCAGACCAGAATCCCAGCCAGTGGAAAGATACCACCTACATTCGGATCTCCCTACCTTAATTAACTTAGTCTAAATCTCCCTCACAGACAGGTCTACTTATTTGTCTCTTAGATTATCCTAGATTCTGCCCAGTTGACAGTTCACTCTCACAATTCCCAAGTGGGAATGAGGGCTCAAGAGTTAAATGAATTTCTAGAGGAAACAGTAAGTGGTTAGTGTGGTTTTCTATCACTCATTCTTCATCATGAATCTCTGCATAGGACTGGATTCTAAGAAATCTATAGTAGCTGATGCATACATGATAAAAGAAGAGTAAACTAAGGAGCTATTGTTCAGTGCCATGAATGGTCATGACAACACTTGTCAGGCCATGCTCATTTTTTCCTGTGCTATTAGACAATCATGTTTCATGAATGCCACCAGTATTTGATGTATTCCCTTCTTGTCTCCTCTTTTAAGAATGAGTAAGCATGAATCAACCCCATGACTCTATTTCTTTTTCCTGGGTCCTAACCTAATTATCTTTGGGATTCCCACTATTTCCTGGAAGGTCTTGATGTAATAACATACCTGTCATCCCGGATACTCTGGAGCCTGAGGTGGGAGGATCAATTTGAGAAGTGACTGAACAACATAGTGCCACCAGAGCTTAAAAATAACAAACCCCCAAATCAGTATTAATACACAAAAAGATTTCTTCAGTGTTCCCATCCCAAGCTCTGTGTAGGAATTCCTGCTTGAGATAACCCATGGGTTAGGCTAAAGACAGGCAAAGTGCCTAACTCAGACTGTAAGGGGAGAAAACAATAAGGTTGAAGGTAAAAATAAGTTACAGTGGAAGATCAAGACATTACAGTGAAGCGTGGTCTGATGGCTCACAGTTGTAATCCTAACAGCTGGGAAGCAGACATAGGGAGATTGCTGCAATTTCCAAGCCAGCTGGGTCTACATAGCCTAGGGTAGCCAGAGTGACAGGGAGACATTATGTCAAAAACAAGGCAGATGGGGAGAGAATGAGAATAGATAGATTGTGGTCAGAGGAGTGAGATAGTGGTCATGAAGTTGAATCGTGTGGTATAAGGAATGAACATGGTTTCCAGCTCTTTCAATACTTAAGCACTTAGCTGAAGATTCCCACTCAGCTTCTACAGATGCTACATGGAGATCATTGGAAAGGTAGACTATACGTAGTCTGTGCTAGGATACGCCCAGATTGAGCAATTTATCAGCAAGGTGCTGAGGTCAGTGGAGTGATAATAGACATTCCCAGACGTTGAAGAAGGTAAATGAGGGCTCTGAGAAGATAAGTATGCCTGAGGAAAGAGAATAGCTGAAGAAAATCCAGTCATGTTCGAAAATCTTTAGCAGGGCAGAGGGCATATCCAGGTCCAGAGAAGACAAACCTGATAGGAAAGCTAAGATTCAGTTGTTCTCAAACAGACAATGTATTCCATGTGTTTTCCCGACTTGACTACACCTCAGTGATTTAGGGCAATCTCTGTCAGATTCCTTCTTTGTATATGAGATCTGAATACAGCTAATGGATCGTTGGAAGTGTAAATGATAGCTTCCAACATGAAAAAAAAAAAAACAACCTGAACACCTTTGAGAAGTCAGTAAATTCTGAAAACAAATGAGCTTTCTTATGTCTGTTTCAGGGTTTTCCTTCCTTTTGAAGTAATGCATGAGAAATTAAATCACATATTTTAACACTGAGCTGAGCTCAGAACTCCACATGCTTAGAAGCATTAATTATTTAGGCTGTCAACACCTAAGAGGCAGCATACCTGTTAAAGTACTCAAATTAAAGTACGTAGCAGGCTGTGGTACCAATGATTTGTAGAATCAGGAGTATTATGGCAGAAATAAATACAGGCATAGAAGTACTATATGCCAGCACCTGAATTAGGGTAAGAGATAGGATATGTTGCAATATTTGTTTTCTGAATTCAAAGGTGCTGTGTTTTTGTTGGTGGTGGTTGTGTGTGTGTGTGTGAGAGAGAGAGAGAGAGGGAGAGGAGAGAGAGAGAGAGAGAGAGAGAGAGAGAGAGAGAGAGAGTGTTTATCCTGTGTAAGCCAACTTTAATAAAGGAGAAATTACGGCAACTTTTATATTTTTGGTTTTTTGGTTTTAAGCCTAGCCTTTAACAGCTGAGCATCTCTCCATCCCAGGGGAGTTTTAAAATGATGGTTACAGATGTTTAAAAATTGTGAAATGTATTCTTGTGCCGTTAACTTTTGAGATGTGGTAAGGATGATACTGACTCAGTTATAGTCTACATAAAGTATTCTTTAAATACACAGCCCCAGTGATTTGCTTTCAAGTGAAGTATGGGAGAAGGCATAACAACTGATCTGTCTAAAGAACTCAACTACAGTTGGCACTCTACATTTGCAAGTTCCATATCATGGACTTAACCAAGCAAACTTAGAAATATTTGGAGGGAGGTATCCTATTGTAATTAAACATAGATATTTTTGGGTCATTATTCCCTGAATTGAATGATAATAATATAACAACTAGTTACACAACATTTATATTATATTAGGTGTTATAAGTAATGTAGAGATGATTTAAAATATATGGGAAGGTGCCATGTAGTTTCTATGAAAGTACTTTATATAAAGAACTTTATCATTCATGCATTTGGTATCTATGGGATCTTATAATCAACCGACTCCAAATACAGAGGAACCACTGTAGGTCTTCAGAGCACAAAATACTTATCACTGGAAAGGTGTTTTTATATCGTATGCATTCTATACAGGTGTTACTGGGAGATTATGCTAATAGAATTTATATTTTATTGGAAGAAACGAAGAAATATTAACTTAACAATAATAGTTCTTTTATATTCCTGACCTCTGTATACTCATGTGTGTGCCTTCCTAACAATTCTTCATATCTAATAACTGCTTACTTTCACAAACTTACTCTTCCTAATGTGTTTCCTGCTTTTTTTATTTGAAATATCAACCAACCATTTAAAATTAGATTTATTATTAATATTAGAGATTTATATGTGATTTTCTTCTGTGGTTTTTTATTTAGGATAACTACTAAATTTATAGCAAAATTGCAATTAATTCAACATTTTGCCACAGTTGCTTTATATCCATTAATTTATATATCCTTATACTAATGTTTTGTTTATATTGACATCTACTTATGTATATCCCTAAGATGACATCTTTATATGCTCTTGCATATATTTATCCAT